TGCCGTTGTTTCGTCACATGAGAAATTCGCGTGGGTAGACTTTCCTGCTCCAACAAAAATCACGTTCTCGATCGATAATAAAGAGGACCGGCCACCGTATCCTATGAGTCAGGCATAACACCCCCTTTTCACCCTGCTGGAACTTCAACTTGATTCTTAGTCGTGAAAATAAATGCAAATACGAAGACAAAATAAATAAATCATTAAACTAAATTCGCTGCGCGGAAAGGAAAAAGTTAGAATAATCTTTCGTCGAAAGGTCAATACCAAGAAGCGAAGAAAACTCGCTCGTAGATTTCAATAAAGCACGTAGTTAACTTTAAACGTTGTATTCGACTAATCGCTTCCAATAAATGTTGCGTAATAAATTCGAAGAGGATGAAATATTGAAACGCCAGGAATCATATGTTTCGATCTAAATAACCAACGAATGCCCGTCGCGGAATTATATTACGCCTTCGAATTTCCGAATCTAAGCAAATAATTCTAGACGATAGCAAGGGAAAAAAGAAAAACCTTTAAGAAGAATAAGCGTTCACAAAGTATATGTAGATATAAATGAGAAATATTATTTCGTCGTAAGCGAGCCGTGCCAAAGAAAACGTCGTTCATCCAATAACGCGTTTTCTAAGTATATTGTATACAAAAAACTGTGAGATTATTTCTTAGAAGAAAGAAATAATTCGTGTAATATTGCAACGTCAGTTAGACTTTTTCCTCAACGCGTGCGTATTTTTATTGAACTTATTGGCGAAGGAAGTGTAATATCGTTAACTATCGTTAGGACGAGGTCGAACGGATGGGAAGCAAGGAAGCAGGCAGGCAAGCAAGGAAGCAGGCAGGCACGTTTTTGCGAGGACCGAAAGAAAGCCGGCACAAGAGGGCACGTGAATATTAGACGAGACTCGTTGATATATTTACAACAACGCCGCTAAAAGCTCTACCCTACGTAAGCACGAGGCCAAGTCCGTTGTGTTCTAACTGTATATGTAAGCCAGCCTATGCCAAAGTATCCAAAGCCTCGTTCGCCAGCACGTGGCAGCAAACGCGAAACGCGAGATCGTTTTACGGTGCAACGAGTCGCGAGCTCCTTCCTTTTTATAATTTTACGTAACACATCATTGCAGAACCTAACGTTCTAATGTTCTCGTGAGCGTGCCCCTACAGTAGATGATGACTAACCGAGGACAGCACAGATCTTATTGTCTACTGCAACACCGTGCCTTATTCTATTCAAAGTTCATTGTATTTTAGAATATATATACGATATATATATATATATATAAAACAATTTGAACAAATTGAGACAAATTCTTTAACAACTATTTCAACGTTGCTCGCAAATAATCAAACGTACCAAATTACAATTAGAAAAACAACGAGGTAAATATATTGCATTACATGATCGTCGTTCGGTAAATATGCGTCAACGGTAATCCACAAAATTGACTTGTGATAATACGCGGAAAATCTGAATAAATACAAATTGTGACGCGTGTATAACAGAGAATCTATTATAATATTATAACAATCCTACACGTGATATGTTTTATGAATGTAGGCGTGCAAAATTATATAACTGCGTCACCACGTGTCGCTTCGAGAATTGAAATTCGGTTATCGTGTTACATCGTGTTATAATCGTGAAACATTTTTTTCTTCTTTAAATTTAAATGTTTTTTTTATACAAAAAGTAGTTAGTCGGTTAATCTTCCCTAATTTATCGCAGACTGTGGGTTTCCGGATGATAGTTGGGACAAATGATATTCCATAACCGCACAAAACACGTGGCTGGCTGGCTGTTTTGCGGAAACACAAAGCACTTACGTAACTTCTCGTGCGCGGATAAACGTCGTCGCACATTTGCGTTGGAATATTTCTATAATAATCAAAAGTACACACGATATTGCGAATACGTAGGAATCATAAAAGTAAACGTGACACTTTGTAATGTAAACTTTACGACATATAATCGTACAAGAACATACTTATTGACTTTTACATATGTATTTAGATATATAATATTTATAAATTTATCTTACAAATGACAAATGAATTTTAATGAATAAGTATGTTCTTTTTTCGCTATTTTAAAATTCAAATCAAAAAGATTTGTATAAATGCGTATATACGTATACGTATATAACTCACAACCTTTTTAGAACATTGATTTAATAAAGCTCCGATATAATACAGAACGCTTTAACGGTGTTATAGGAAAATTAAATATATATAACGTGTGTGTCTACATTTATTTTAATACAAACGTGGATCGTTTAAATCTCGATTAAAAAGAAAATACTCGAAGAGAACAGCATCAGATGTGTGTTTACTTCGATACAATTTAGGAATAGATCAGCTGTATTTACATTTAACCTATTTATACGAACTGTATTTACTATTTCAGATCGTCAAAGTTGATACGAAAGCTTTGGCAGTTCCTAAATTAACTACTATTTATTCCATTTGAACAAAAATTATTTAATCTACAAATGTTTCTCTCATTTTATTTAGTCTTTCATTCATTTTTCGTATCAATTTATATTAGAATACGCTCCACACAACGTTTGTAGCGTAGATTGTCCCATAAGTTCCTTCCTTTCTTTTTTTTTTTTTTTTCATGCCAAATCAATAGACGATATTTATTGTTTAAGGTTGATTTACTGTGTTATATACGAACCGTTCTGCTCTATTATTACCTTCTTACATCTCTCAGGAAGCCTCATTATGCCCTCTTACCAAAATTCTTGAGATTTACTTGCAAAATATTCATCGTGGTGCGGAAAGAATTTATGGGATAACCTAATATAAACTCCTATAACACGATTAACTCGTTTGGTAAGAATAAAATAAATGAAAAGATTATAGAACTTTTGGGAAATGCAGAAAATGTTCAAAGAGTTAAACAAGAGGACCTACGGTAATGTGGCAAACACTAGAAAAACATTATAACATGCGAATCGTAATCACGCACGAAAGAGGCAGAGGAGAAGATCAAACAACGATGATACGTGCGATCTCCGAGGACCGGTTACTTAAATAGGGATGCGAGCATTTATTTTATCGTCATTAATTGAAAGCGATTTCACGAAGGGTAACGCTGGCTGAGGACGTTCCTGTACAAGAGGGAGGTCACTGACTTGGGAACCTTGAACGCGACCTTACCTAAGATTGCTCTCTCCGTCATACCCATATCTTCTCTCTAAAGAATCTTTATCTAAAATCAGAGAAATACGAAGATGTACCAGCAACGACGTTGCTTGCATCGAAAACGAGATCTTCCTTATTATATTTATATATCATATATAAATTAGATTTTTTTATTATCTCACCGTCCTCCCAAATTTCGAATTTTAAATTCAACAAACAGAGTTACACGTTAATACTTATTTTTTGTCGGAAACATGATTTTCTTCGGAAATATATGTAAATCGGATGATCTGATCTCTACGGTTATAAAGTGCGGAGTGGGGAAGTAGGAATTTGAAAATTTTACAAGCCTGCGATAGTTGTTACTCAAGAAGCGTAGACCGTGTATAGAGTTGCCTCGTTGGATCACATCGCACTCTGATAGTTACGTAATATTGAGCAACACTGAGTTGCGACAAACACGGCGGCGTGTAGCTTTATCGGCGGTCACCACTGTCTTTGATATTCGCTCATTAAGAAATGAAAGAGGAGAAGTATCTCTCTAGTTGTAAAGTTTCGTTTAACGACAAGGGCATTGTTTACTAAATAATAATGCTCTCGTCAAATAACTTATCACTTTGTCTTTCCAAATTTAATACAGCAGAGTTGCATAATAGGAAAGAAAATGCTACGAATTTACTGGGCGTTCTCGTTAACGATAAAAAACACGATAAAGATGTTTCTTTAAGAAGTTCCTAAAAGAAAAACGATCGATGAAGTACGTTGCATTGTCTAATAGTTCTACAAGTTCAAGTTTTAAACTAACTCGTCATAGACACAGTCTATGCATGGTCTCTTAATTTGCAATTAAGATTCGACATCGAGAATTCTCGTACACGCATTAATGCACGATATGCATGATCATATCATTCCAATGATTTAAAAGATAATTAAAACGATAGAAACACTACTGTCTTCAAACAAAATTTCAACCAATATAGAATATAATAGGATAGTATTAGTTGAATACCATGTGAAATCTCGAACGGGAAAGGCAAACGATCGATACAGTTTGCGATCTCTCAAATGCGTGTTCTCGCGTGACGAATGGCCGAGGTTACCGAAGGAGGTCAACCATCTGTAGGAATCGCAAAACGTTTCCTCGTTCCTGATTCCTAAGCGCCGCACTTATGGCCTTTTCCGAGCAACTGGACATTAGCGTTCGATCGTCATCGCTATGCACGGACCACCTCGAGGTCTTGACGCGCACGTCTACATACCTACATATTACTATATTTTCCATAGTTATTATGCGATAGTTGCACGAAAGAAACATTGATACGCACACTAGGTAGAAAATTACCTTGAAGAAAATCGATTTTTCTATATCCAACAAGGCTCTCTTGTACATAGGAAATATATATCTCCCTACCTTTCTATCGTTTTCTAAAGAAATTCAAAGTAAATTATTACGAATTCAATACACCATATCGCGATAAACTAACTTGTGCATATTCGATATACCTTGAAATCGAACGTCGTTTCGACCTTATCGAAAACAAAGACGATCATTTTATTGTTAACTCATCGTATACATTTGTATTTTCAATCCGTACAAATACGTTTCTAATTACAGGTGCTAGCATATTATTATCGTAACATCTTTGGCTATCGTTTATGTAATCGTGCAATAATAATATAAATGTAGAAACTTTGCCAACCCTTTTTCGATTTCATCGAACAATAATTATTGAATTAACGAATGTTCTGCTACATTAATAACTAAACATTTTCCATCTCTTCGTAATTTTAATATAATTCATCTATTTGTTAATAATCTAATTGTTATCTTTCTTTATTATCTGTCGCAGATGTACTAAGAAGACGAATTATGGTGGCAGAATTTGTCGCCCGTCAGAGTGGATCGCCCATCAATGGTGAGACCGCCTGCCTAAATAGCAACATGCCGGCTAGCCACACAATGGCACACGATGCTCACGGACCATTACCACCGCTAACACATCCGGCTCATCACGGTGGACCGATTCAACAGCACCCACCGCAGCCGCAGCCGCAACAACCACCACCACCACCTCAGCAGTCTCCTCATCACCATCATCACCATCATCAGACGCAGCAGCAGCAGCAACAACAACAACAACAACAACAGCAGCAGCAGCAGCAGCAGCATCATCATCATCATCAACAGCAGCAACAGCAGGCACAACAGCAGCAGCAGCAGCAACAACAGCATCTTCATCAAGACGCCCAACAGGTGACACATCCCGAAAACTTCCCCCCGAACTTCGACATCAGAAAAGAGCTCTTTTCCCAGCGCAAGCAACGAGAATTCATCCCGGACAACAAGAAGGACGACAGCTATTGGGACCGGAGGAGACGCAACAACGAGGCGGCCAAGCGGTCGCGCGAAAAGAGACGATTCAACGATATGGTTCTCGAGCAACGAGTCATGGAGCTGAGTAAGGAGAACCACATCCTGAAGGCGCAGCTCGAGGCGATACGCGACAAATTTGGGATATGCGGCGAATCCGTGATCAGTACGGAACACGTTCTCGCCGCGTTACCCGCGGAGCCACCGATCAGCGTTAAGAGGGCGAAACTACCAACATCGGCAGCCATTCTTTATGCGAGAACTCCCAGCCCGGTTCACAGCTCGGTTCACAGCTCGGTTCACACCTCGGTTATCCATCAGCCCGTCAGCGGTGCCAGATCGCCGAGATCACCTGCGCAGCTTTACGTGCCCGAAACAACGGCTTATCCGGAAACGGAAAGCTTCCAATATCCTTACCCACACCCAGCGATGCACCTCGATACGACGAGCGCGTTAAATTTATCGCGCGGCGGTCGTAGAGCGCAATCGCCTTTCGAATTGTCCTCCGGTAGCGGCGACGAAGGTGGACCGCAGCTGGTAGTAAACCCATCGGCCAACAACAGTCTGCCCCACAAACTGAGGCATAAATCCCGCATCGGTGACAAGGACGCCGCTAGTGCTCTCCTTGCGTTGCAAGGTATCAAACAGGAACCTGGACCAAGAGCGTCGCCCCCTTGGGACAACGAAGGTTCCAGCGACGAACGTGATTCTGGTATTTCTTTGGGAGCCGAATGGACCGGACCAAGCGTCGTACCTAACGTCCCGGAAAGCGAAAGGGAAGTCAAGTCGAGGCTCGATCGTCTCGCTTCCGAAGTTGCATCTTTGCAATCGATATTGCGTCTTGGCAAGCCGGCCGACAGTCTTATGACTATGCCAACTAACGCGACGACCAATGGACCATGAACGAAACTATACCTTTCGAAGAGTTTTCTCCGCATAATTAACTCTCTTCGAATTGTCTGCGTGTTTTATTCTCTTCGAGATCCTCCCCAATTGCTTCTGCTAAGGTCCATCGTAACGTCCTTACGAACTTGTTGATGCGACTAGTAGTTGCCGCTATCGGAGTTATTATGGACGAAAGAGAGGAGAAGGGTGATGTGGTAATAGGGATAGATCGATTTTCCTATTAGAAAATATCGACGGGGAGAGATGGACGCCTCGCGCCATTTTATTTTCCTTTGCTCGGTATTTCGATATTCTCCATGCTTTAACAGCGCATTAAGAGTAGTAATTGATAAGATCTTTAATCTATTACGTTATCATCGTGCTATACGTAAATACATCGAGAGTGCATTCGTTCTCTTATCGATCGTCGAATCGATCTAAAAACAACACAACAAAAAAGAACAAATTCGAACGAACAAAAGAGGCGCGTCTTATGAACTTTCTTACAAATTTTCACCGCGACTATCGATGCGTACGCGCACGAGCTTATTACTACAAATATACGTGTTACATATACGCATATGCCTGTACCTACATATATTTACATACATGCATACATACGTACAAATCTCTAACAAGTTTAGGAAACCATTTTTAAAGGAGAATTTGCAACGAGAGTTTATTATTTTCTAAGTAATGTTTTTTTTTTCTTTTCTTTTATTTAATTAATGAAATAACGAGAGAATTAATCATCCTACTCCTTACGGCGGCACGTATTCCCTAAGCGGATTTATTGTTAAATAGTAAACGAGTTCAGCCGCTTTCACGCGAACCTTGGCGATACTATAAAATGTATTTACAAAATGTACTTACCCTCTTCCAAGAATATTTCATCTAACGCCTACATTTCAGAAATTTTACTTGCAAAATTCTAATTCGATCGATATTCGAACAAACTCGTGTCGAAGCGGCTTTATTCTCTTATTAACAATTATGTCGCGCAACCGGCTATCTCACTACCACAACGATACATTCAAAAATGTAATATTTCGTATCATAGAGATTGTTAACGCGTTGAAATAATAAGCTCTCGTTTCGATAACATTCTTCTTCGAACCATTTTGATTTTCTTCCTACGTAAATACATATATATATATATATATATATATATATATGTACATTAATATCTACAGAAAAGGAAAGAAAAAAATGTCGTTGATGAAAGAACGGATGTATCACGTTTACACACACACACACACACACACAAAGTCGCCTTATTAGAAATTACTATACTCTATATCTATGGCGCACGATAAAAATCAAAACAATAATTATCATTATCTTTTCTCTTCTTTTTAAACAATTCGAGCCTTTATTGTCCAACCTAATGAACCTATTTTTATGGAAAATCAAAGTTTATCGACGAAAAAAAAGCAAGAAAAGATAATGAAATAAATAAAACTCGAGCTTTACTTAGGAGAAGATCATCGTGATTGCGTATTTAAACTTTCTTTTCTTCCTGATTTTATCATAATTTAATCGTAAACATTTTCTCGCCTCTCATTCTTCCCGCGACTATATTCACATTTAATATTTTTGCTATCGTTGATCGTAAAAAAGATATGATCGTACGCCTATATGTCTAAATAAGGAGCGAGGATTCATCATACTGCATATGATCATCACATATACCTATGCATACATACATACATACATGTGTATATATTATTGACTTGCAGTTTACGCAACTGCTCAAAATTGGTGCTTTTTGTACAGCACTATATAACTATACCTTATATATCGAAATATCGATAAACTTTTGAAGTATTTTTATCAGATCTTCGTTTTAATAAGCTGAAATTCATTGTCAATCTTCAAATCGAAATTTAGGATCGAAGTATTAAGTGAGCCTATAGTTATATATTAAATACGTAAATAAATATACAAAAATATATATATATATATATATATGTATTAAATAAAAAAATATGTGCGTGTGTGCGTGTGTGTGTGCGCGCGCGCGCGTGTATATATATGCATATATATATGTACGCGCGAATATAGAAATTAATGTATTTTTCGATATCGTGATTATGGCAAGCGGTTATTGTTCATCAAATTCATCGAAATTAAATGAAGCAGCAAGTCGTCGTTAGTCTTATACGATACAGTAACAATATTTAAATAGAATTGAATATTTTTTGACGAATGACTGATTCTCGAAAATAACGAAAAACATTTGCAAAATGCATATAATTCATTAGAAAGTTATAATTCGCGTTACAATACTTTACATATTCGTTTATTATATGTATATATTGTATACGATAAGTGAACAATTTGTTGGTATATTTGAAATTAACTATACCCCGATTAAAAGGAAAGTTTTATTAAAAATTATTTAGTGTGCTATATATACGTAAAATATATACAATATCGAGAAAAATAATTATTTTCCTAAATAAAAGATCTTATAAAAAAGGATTGATTGATTTTGTAACAGAGTAGATACAAAACAACCGATCTAAGAAAAAAATGCATATATTATTTTTTATACACGTATATTTATATTATAGTCTTTAGACAACAAATGTAAAAAGATTCTCACTTTGTACTTTTTATCGTGTGATTAAAATAAAACCAATTATTTTTCTGTTTTTTACTTTTTTGTTTGTTTGAAATGTTTTATATAGCACACTAATTTCTCCATATCTATTCGAATATCGAAATAACAAATTGTTTGATAAAAAAAAATACGATATAGTATATAGTTTGCAAATTGTCCAAATACTTTGGTATTAGATTTGAAGAAAAATATAGATAAATGATTATTAGGAAAATAGAGAATGAGCCATTCGAAGTTATCGACGAGAATGTCTGCTATAATTGAACAATCGAGTCGATCAATTTCTAAATCATTGTCGTCGGCGATTAACAGCGATTAACATTAACCGAAAGCCATTTTAATTATGAAACGTACCTCTATTTATTATTACATCGACCGCCTATTTAACGAAAGCGAGCGACCGTAACGAAAACCGATAATCTGAACGATCGATATCATCGATCATTTCGTTTGAATCACATCCAAAGCAGATCGAAGATACTTGATCTGTAAGCACGTTCATTAACATTTATATAAAAAGAAAAAAAGAAAAAAACACCTCACAAGACTGTTTATTATAATCGGCGTTATTCGCGGAAAGATTTTGCAATGATTTTATTCTTTTGTCCTTATCTCTCTCTCTCTCTCTCTCTCTCTCTCTCTCTCTCTCTCTCTCTCTCTCTCTCTTTCTCTCTCTCTATACTTTTGATTATA